TTACACAGACATTAAAAGATCATAGAATGTTGTGATTCTTGGTCAACTAGCGCTCATACCAAGAGCTCTTCTCCATTATTACAGCTGACCGAAACTCGAGCGGTACATGGAAAAATTTCGACTGATTGATGACTTTCGAAATTTTTAACGTAATTAATATGAGCTACTTCACTACCTTTCTCTGAACTTTTACAATTATCTGTATGAGTTGGATGCAAGGAAGAAGTTTCAACTACCTTTTTTGGGTAAAGTAGAGTATGACATTTTTTATTGCTTTTACTACGATGCCTTTGTGTTAGGTGATTCTTTCTGAAATAATAGTGTAAGCAATTAAGACAATACATGCTCTGGAATACACAGATTTAGCTTTTTTTTACATTTTTGTTTTAAAAGATTGGACAGGATTTCAACGAATGAAAAGTAACACATAGATGACATTTTTTGTGATCAGGGCTAAAAGTATCAAAAAAGCATGCTTTGGTTGAACTGATTTACTAGACAAGATCGATCACCAATTTTTTCCAACAATAGTGATTTAGTTGCAGAAAAAGTGACGCAGTTGATTGAGGGTAAATAGACCAGAATCACGACCAAACGTTCGCTGCCAATCGTGTTTTGTTCTCACTTCCAACTTACTGGCCACTAATTTTATGAATAAGTCCTAATTATCTATATTTTACTTTACAGCAGTGAAAAAATCTAATGTATCTCACAAGATAAAATGGTTTTTGTTATTGTTTTTGTAAATGGTTTTTACCTTTATCTCTCTCTCTCTCTCTCTCTATCTCTCTCTCTTGTGCGAGAATGCCGCCGAGAACTTTGATTCAGCTAAGGCAACGAAAAGTGCATTACTGTAAAAGGTTGCCTCCATTCTCAGCATTCTAGTCAAATGTGTTAATATGCTATCTAAGAAGAACGTTGTGATTAAAGGTAATTGATTTAGTTCTCCAGCAGACTACTCTGATTTGCGGAATATTGTGAATGAGGTCAAGCAGAAGAGCAAGCTATTCCCATGGATTGTAGTTTATGACACACCTGTCAGTCTCTCCAAAGAGGAAATACTTGAAGCTATTGCACAGCAAAACTTACCTAATTGTATACCCACTGATCTTAACATGGCCTATATGTACCCAATGAATAGAAAAAAATACAGGTCGTGTGTAATTCAAGTCATACCTGCTGCTAGTTCGGTACTGTTCCAGCGTACTCTCATATATTTGGAATGATTTCGGTATCACTTTGCGGACCACATAAGCATACCACAATGCTATAAATGCCAGAATTTTGAACACGTTGCTTACAACTGTAACAGTGCTGCCTCATGCAGCTTTTGTGCTGACCCACATGAGTCAAAACATTGTGAATCAAAAACACAGCTCAAATGTATTAACTGATGCCACAGCAAGTGAGATAATGTTTCACGTTTAACTTTTGATTTGTCGTTGGGTGCCGTTCTACGTGCTAAGATTGGATGCAAGTCATGTAGCATAAATTATGGGAAGTAACGACCAGAACGCTGCTAGGCTCAACCAGCAGCTGTTTTATCTATTTTGACCTGTTACAATGTCTTACAGCAGTATTTTAGTAAAAAAGCCTGTTGCATAGCTCTGCATTGGCTACAAACTTTTTTTAAGTCGTTGATTCGAGGCAATTTATAAAAGTCTCCATTTTATCAGGTCTGTATTGAGACAACGGTGAGATTCTCAGTTATTTTATTCTCTTGCGCCTACTTTATTTGTCGAGTTCTTAAATGGCTAGCTAAAGATTAACAGTCTAGTATGCTTGTGCTGCCTACGTGGTGAAGTAGCCAACATAGCTCTGCAGAAGCTCTGAACTTTTTGTAGCCCCAGAGCAAATCCTATAAATCAGCAATACCTTTAGCAGTTGCAATAAAACATAAGAAAAATATTTGTCAAACGTCCACACACAAAAATCTTTATTCATAAACCATAGCTTATACTTATATCTACCCAAGTGTTACAATATCCTACACCACCAATTTAGTGGACAAGCTTGTTGCATAGCTCTGCGTTGGCTGTAAATTTTTTTTTCAGCCCACGATAAGAGCCAATTGATAACAGTATCTATACTCATCGAATTAATATCAATATGTGCCTCTAGTTTTGCCCGTTTTATTGATAGAGTCCTTAAAAGGCTGACTAAAGATTAACAGTGTAGCGCGTGTGTGCTGTCTATGTGATGCAGCAGCAAATAAAGCTCTACAGAAACTCTGAACTTTTTGTAGCTCGAGATAAAACTCCATAAATCATCAATATTATTCAACAGTTTGCAACAAAACCAAAAAAAGTATTATGCTCACATGTCCATAATATGAAACTTAATTTGTAAGTCATAACTAATACTCCTATCTACCCGAATATCACAATACTCTAAACCACAATTGAAGCAAACAAACCTGTTGTACAGCTCTGCGTTGGCTATAAACTTTTTTTCGCCCACAATAAGAGACAGTTGATAAAAGTCTTCATCTTATCAGGTCTATATTAAGACAACGGTAAGGTTTTCAGTTATTTTATTCTCGTACAACTGCTTAATTGATCGACTTCTTAGAAGGCCAGATAAATTTCGACATACGAGGGTGCATGCGCTGTCGTTATAATGCAGCAGCCAACATAGTTCTGCAGTAGCTCCAAACTTTTTGCAGCCCGAGATTATAGCATATAAATTAGCAATATCTTCAGCAGTTGCCTCGAAACCTAAAAAAATTTTTGCATACATCTACATACAAAAAATTACATTCATAAGTTAAAGCTTATTCGACTTTATGTAATAAAGTTCAAGACTAATCATGTTATTGTTGTTGGATCTTACAATTCTTATGTGATGCAGCGATTGTCCCACCAGACTGATAACAACAATAGTAAAAATACGTAATCTACCCATAAGTACTGTATACAAATGTACATACTACATAGCAGACCTATCCAATTCAAGCGGTAAGTATCGATAGCTTAGGGTACCTGACTATTCGTGTAATGGACTTTGAACTGAAGATGTATACGTGTACATAAAAGTCATTATTAAAACAAAATACCAGATTAATTATCTTAAAACAGCTTTTTCTACTCATCAGTAATGCTTGTGTGAAAACTAAATTTTATAAAACAAAAAACGATACAGAGTGTATGTTTTGGATCAGCATCATTTTTAATTTATTATTTGGTCGTTACTTTAAATAACTTAGAAATTGAATATATGAATGGTAGAATGTCTTAGTTTACTTACAGATTAAAATTTATACACTTGAAGTATAGATATAAATTTAAAAAGTGAAAGTTGTTATGAGCTATTCTCACTTCTGACGTCATCATGAAAAATGGCGAGGGTTGGGGAACAAAGTTTCAATTTACACAATAAGTTTAATCGTGACTATAAAATTTATTGAGATATGTCAGTAACTTGATTTGATTAAAAAAATTCCTCCTTTTCACAAGCTATCAAATGGGTATCAAGTATACGGCATTTTTTATTTCTAAATAAGTAAAATCGATAAATGAAGCTGTCACGGGTGAAAAGTAAAGCCTGAAAACTTTTTTTTTAAACCCTTTACAAGCATCTAATCGCACCTGTTTTAAAATATAGCAATAATTAATATTTGATTAATTATAACAAATTGTTACTGCATGATACAACATCACGTAAATAGCCTAAGACTCAGCTCAACTAAAAAGTGTGGATTGTTTGGTTAGAGTGCGAGTTACTCCTATACATATACATACAGTTTTATGAAAAGCTCTACCCATCAGCCGATGCGATTGACGCGAGTTGTCACACCAATGCACATAAGTAGTGCTTACATGCTATCACTGGAAGTTTGAGTCTGAGATACTGAACAAGAATAAAATTATTTATTAAAATGGTAAAAAATTTTGTCACATCAACTGCTGGACAGAGCATTTAATGAGACTGTATAAATAGGTATAGGAGTGATTCAAACTCTAACCAAACAATCCACACTTTTCAGCTAAGCTGAGTTTTAGGCTATTTACGTAATGTTATATAATGCAGCAAACATTTTTAATTAATAATAAAATATCGATTGCTGCTAAATTTCAAAACAGGTGCAATCAGATGCTTGTAAAGGATTAAAAAAAATGTTTTCTGGCTTTACTTTTTGCCCAAGACAAGTTTATATATCAATTTCACTTATTTATAAAGAAAAAATGCCGTATATCTGATACCCATTCGACAGCTTGTAAAAAGGAGAAGTTTTTATAGTCAATTTGAGTAATTGAAATATCTCAAGAAAATTTTATAGTCACGATTAAACTTATTGTGAGAATCCAAACTTTGTCCCCCAGCCCTCGCCATTTTGCATGATAACGTGAGGAGTGAAAATACCTCATATAATCATAATAAACGTTAAAAGTAAATCATTTATTGTTACGTAAGGCTAAGTATTCTTTTCATTTCTGTTACACCTATGAAATTTTTTAATAACTGTTCACTTGTTTATTTTCTCTCTTGTTGAAAGTAAGGCTTGCTTCTTTCTCTTTTTTGAACAAACTATAAAACCTTTAACAAATGTTCGAAATTTTTTTTAAACTTATTTTAATCGTTAACTAGTACTTGTACGAATTATTAAGAATCAGGAATATTTTTAAAATAATTCACAACAAAATGAATTAAATCACAACAGTTATCCATTATTGTCATGCAAATTGTATAGTTACAATTGATTATTTAGATAATAATA